TTATATATTAATTTTCTCTTTAGTTCATATATATTTTTATATAATATAATAATTACAATAATTATTTTTAAAAATGAAATAATTACATAATTATTATATAAGGTATTATATATACTGTCCAAAAGTCACATACCATACAAATTATTTACATTTTACATTACTTTTTTGATATTTAAGCAAATTATTGGTATTATTATTATTAGCAATATTATTAAGTATTTATTATTTTATGAATTAATATTTAATTAATACATAACAATAAAAATAATGTTACATTATAGATTTATATATAAATTTTCTATATATGAAGAGTTTATTTGCAAAAACAGATAACTCCGTTTTTTTCAAATTTTCAAAAATCATGTTTTTTATGATGTTATCATGTTTTTATTGTGTTAGTTAGCTGTATTTTTTTGTTATTTTTTAACCTAGTCAAAATAACCCAACTGCAGTTTGATTGAGATCAATTGAAGTCTTTGCAAACGAACTCTTCATATATAGTTTCAAGTGTTTGCCAAAGTTGCAAAATTAATCATTTAAAACAAATTCAAATTCAAAAATTCTTTCAGATCAGTTTTCAAAGCAGCTGCACAGAAGACAACAGTGTGATTATTCAGCTCAGTTCGGTCCAGATGTTGTTCTGGATAATATTGCTGAGTATTAATTGTCTTTTAAGCCCCAAGAGAGCATCTAATGAAGCTCATTTCTGATGGTCTCTGCTTGTTCAGGTCTCAGCTTTGGCTCTGGATCCGTCTGGCGCTCGTCTGGTCACCGGCGGCTACGACTACGACGTGAAGTTTTGGGATTTCGCCGGGATGGACGCGGCGCTGCATGCCTTCCGGTCCCTGCAGCCGTGTGAATGGTGAGTTACTATTATTATATTAGGGATGCACAGAATGTTCGGCAGCTGAAATTGAATAAGCGAAAAGGCCAAAATTGTGCGGAACATTGATGTGACGCGATCAAATAGAGGCGTGCACTAATGCAACAAACATGTTGTCTGTAGGGTTGGGAACCGAGAACCGGTTCTTATTCCGAACTGGTTCTGTTTTTTGAAAAGAACCGGAACCATGAGCTATTTCTAAGTTTCGGTTCCGAAAACGGTTCTGGTGCGACACGTGACCAAGCGCTGTGAGCAGCCTTGCGCCGGCGTTTCCCGTAAAGGGTGTCACAAACCAAATAACAGAAACGCCGCCCTGCCTCTTGAATTACTGAGCACATTGTTTCCCGTGACGTGCACTCCACAGACGCACCGCGTCTTTAACTGCCGAACACATCGTTTTCCACGACTGTACGCGCACTCGCGTCTTTGATAACTGTGCACGTTGTTTTGTCTCACTGTACACGTACCGGCAGCTGCCGCCACTAAATTACATTATATTTCTCCCATATTGTCATTAATATACATACTGACTTCAACTTGGACCACTAAATAAATAGACTGCTATTGTTATGTAAGTGTGAGGGTTAGATTATTTAGTGTACAGGTCATTTCAAGAGTGATAAACAAAGTGATAGAAAATATTTTCATGCATTTTAACCGGAACCGGAAAATTTCTAACGATACCCAACCCTAATTGTCAGTGTGGAAGCATTTAAAAGTGTCGGAGAAAGACGCAAAAATCATTGCAAGCACCGACAGCGAGAGACTGTTTAGTGCTGCAGCGCATGTCTTCGATAAGAAAAGGACGGGGTGGATGTTGCTGGTTACTGTATGATGATTAAAATCACGAAATGGACTCAAATTAGTAAATAAACTGCAGAACATTGTTTTCTAATGCAGGCACGGATTGCATGCATTCTGACAGCGCTGCACGAGCTCGTTAGTCCAAAGCGCGAGGAAAGTCTGCGCTGAAACCGTGTTACTCGTCAGCTGCTCGGTTACATTTTTATGCATTAAAATAAAATAAGAAACGTAAGACAATAATAATAATCACTACAGCTCTATTAATACATTTATAACACTCACACATAGTGTTCAAATTGGGATCTGTAATATTTTCTTCTGCTCAGCAAGGCTGCATTTATTTGTACAGTAAAAAGTACATAACTGATTCAAGAAGGGGGTCTGATGGCCAAAAGAATATTATTTTACTAACTTATTAATTTTAAGTTAAATTGTGCTTTGTTGGTATAGTGTCTGCTAGATAGGGCTGGGACAATAAATCGATGCGTCGCGATTCGTGGATCAATTCTGAGATTTTCGGAATGTATCGTGATTCTCTCTCGAATCGATTCGGAGCTTAGTTTTTAACAGCAGATGGCGCTCTAGGCTAGTTTCTAACCGCACACTCAAATGCTCACGAAGAAGGGCGCTTACAGTATTTTTATTATTTAAATTGTATAATAAAAAATAAACATTATGGTAATATTTGGTGCCTTTAATTTATGCTGATGTAGATAAACATATGTAGTGTTTATAATTAATAAATTAATTAAAGGAATAAAGGAATTAAAATAACTTTACAGAGATTTCTATTATAAAATAAAAATATTTTACATGCAGAAAAAGAGTTTTTTTTGCATTTTGTCATTAATAATTATAATTAATTAAATTTTATCCCCAAATTCCCATTAATTGAATGCAAAAACATATATTACAATATAATATTATCAAAATTATTTATTTAAATTTATTTATTATTAAAATAAAAGGGCTGGGACAATAAATCGATGCGTCGCGATTCGTGGATCAATTCTGAGATTTTCGGAATGTATCGTGATTCTCTCTCGAATCGATTCGGAGCTTAGTTTTTAACAGCAGATGGCGCTCTAGGCTAGTTTCTAACCGCACACTCAAATGCTCACGAAGAAGGGCGCTTGGGTGTTCGGCTGAGTAATGTAAGTGGTGAAATGTACTTGCACGTCGGCTTTTATGATGCGAGATTAATGTAAACACAGCCCACTGTGAACATCCTTGTAATTCGCTTCAACCTTTTCAATTCCCATTAATTGAATGCAAAAACATATATTACAATATAATATTATCAAAATTATTTATTATTTAAATTTATTTAGTATTAAAATAAACATTATGGTAATATTTGATACATTTATCTTATGCTTATGTAGATAAACATTTGTAGCATTTATAATGTTTTACAGTAATGAAAATCTAAAGAGAATAAAATTATAAAATTATATTTTACATGAAAAAAATGAATTCTGTTTATATTTTATTTTTATTTTTATTTTATTTTTTGCATTTTCTTGTTATTAATTATAATTAAGCACATTTTATCCCCAAATAATCCATTAATTTATTGCAAAAATAAAATATAACTCACATTTTCCATACAAAGCCTATTTTTAGATCTCCGGTCGAATCAGCTAAATGCAGCCAGATGCTGGGTATTTTTGTTCTTGTCTTTTGTTTTTCCTTGAAATCCTCCTAAAAGTGGAACCCAATTGTCTCGAGATATTGAACTCTAATTGGCTGAGCCCGAGTGTGATTTACTAAACCTCCACGGCACATTAACGAGTTCATCAGCCCAGGACACAGCCCACTGTGAACATCCTTGTAATTCGCTTTAACCTTTTCGAACTTTATGAATGATTATTTTAGGTTCAAATGGTGCGTGTGTAAGGAACTGGAAGCAAGCAGAATACGGCTATTTCTAAAGCACGCAGCGCTATCTGCTGTTACAAACTAAGCTCAGAATCGATTCGAGAGACAATCACGATGCATTCGGAAAATCTCAGAATCGATGCAGAATCATTTCTCGATTTGCGATGCATGGATTTATTGTCCCAGCCCTAGTACTGAATACTATTTCCGGGTCCAAGCCTCTACTCAAGTAAGAATACTATCCCAACAGCCATTTATGAGCACTCATTATTAATTATAATTAAGCACATTTTATCCCCAAATAATCCATTAATTTATTGCAAAAATAAAATATAACTCACATTTTCCATACAAAGCCTATTTTTAGATCTCCGGTCGAATCAGCTAAATGCAGCCAGATGCTGGGTATTTTTGTTCTTGTCTTTTGTTTTTCCTTGAAATCCTCCTAAAAGTGGAACCCAATTGTCTCGAGATATTGAACTCTAATTGGCTGAGCCCGAGTGTGATTTACTAAACCTCCACGGCACATTAACGAGTTCATCAGCCCAGGTACGGTGGCATCTTTTTACCAGCAGACGGCGAGCAGAGCGGCCAAAGAAAACACGCGGCCCATGTGGAGCCCATAAAGCCGGTGACCCGCAGAGGGTAACAGGAATTTACAGCGGACCTCTGCCTCTGATGGCCGTGTTTTCTTCTTCTCTGCGCTCTCACAGAGTCATTGACACCGTTTACAGCCTCTCCAGGACCGCAGCGCTCAATCTGACTCTATTTGTGCTCAATTCACTCTCAAACAGAGATGATGAATCGCTTCCAACTGGACTGCGTTTGCACAGATCATGCTGTGTTATCTTGTGCTTGTTCTGCATTAGCACAGCTTATGTGCTTGAACACGGCTGGGTCACATTACACACCAGAACATGAAGAAAGAAACCAAGAAAATTGAGACTTTTTTTAATACTTTATGCTTTTGTCGTTTTAATGACAGTGAAGCACGTTCTCACCGTTGCTGTAATGCAAAAACACTGATATATTATTTAAATTGTATTTATGCATCATGGTAGTGTTTGTAGTGCAGCTTTTAATTTATTTAAATAAAAGGTAATTGCATTAAAGTGATGAGAATGAAAGAAAAGTAAAATGTCGGGATGAACTATGACATTTTTAAGCATTATTTTGGACATGATCTTGATGGGTTTCATGAGATTCTCCCAGTTGATTTCGGTCTTTGATTATTGATGCTCATGACCAGGTTTGGACCTACAGAAAGTGCCTTCCTGAATTAAAAGAAAGAAAAAATGACTGACTTTTTAAGACCATTAATATATTTGACATTATTTTTATGAAAATTAAGCACATTGTCAAAATGAAATAATTTTTTAATGAACATTTTTAATTATTGTAGGAATATAATATCACACCGTATATATATCACACCAAAGTAATACAATAAAATATTATTTAAGTATTAAACAGTCTGTCTATTTGAAGAAAATACAGCCTTATTATTACCATTAATATTTTCTATAAAGCAAAATAAAATTGATTTATTCCTATTTTGGGGTGAAATTATATATATAAACCAACTTTATATTTAATCATGATTTTAATATAATGATTTTAATATTTTAATTATTTATATATAAAATATTTATACTTTAAAATTTATACTTGTATTGATTAATTTTGTATTGGTGCAGTCTATGATTTTATGTAGTTAAAATGAAGGCATTAATACATTATAGTATAAAGTAAAATAAAAAAGTATGCTTTTAAATATTTAATAATAATTGCTATACTACTTTTACAATAAATGCTGTTTTTTTAAATTGTTTTAATAAAAAAATAATATTTAAGTTAGCTATTAAATTATTTTAAAAAATATCTGCTATCTGACCAATGCCTGTAATAACAAAACTGTGATGTGGTCTCTTTTATATCGATCATATATCATATATAATATCGTGTGTGTTTGTGTCATTGCAGTCATCAGATCAGGTCTCTGCAGTACAGCGTCACCGGTGACGTCATTCTGGTGGTGGCGGGAAACTCGCAGGCCAAAGTTCTGGACCGCGACGGATTCCAGGTCCTCGAATGCATCAAAGGAGATCAGTATATTGTGGACATGGCCAATACCAAGGTAACTTTAAAGACACATTTGCGTGTAGAAATCTTAAAGTAGGGCTGGGCGATTTGGCAAAAAATTTAAATCTCAATTTTTCCAGAGTGTTTGACCGATTCTCGATTTTTTACGATTTTTAACTAGTCAACTTGTAAATGTAACTACAACATGATTCAAGTAACTTTTTCTTTATTAACCCTCTAGTTAAAGAAAATGTATAATTTTGACCCATACAATGTATTGTTGGCTATTGCTACAAATATACCCCAGTATAAAGTAAAATAAAAAAGTATGCTTTTAAATATTTAATAATAATTGCTATACTACTTTTACAATAAATGCTGTTTTTTTAATTGTTTTAATAAAAAAAATTATATTTAAGTTAGCTATTAAATTATTTAAAAAAAATATCTGCTATCTGACCAATGCCTGTAATAACAAAACTGTGATGTGGTCTCTTTTATATCGATCATATATCATATATAATATCGTGTGTGTTTGTGTCATTGCAGTCATCAGATCAGGTCTCTGCAGTACAGCGTCACCGGTGACGTCATTCTGGTGGTGGCGGGAAACTCGCAGGCCAAAGTTCTGGACCGCGACGGATTCCAGGTCCTCGAATGCATCAAAGGAGATCAGTATATTGTGGACATGGCCAATACCAAGGTAACTTTAAAGACACATTTGCGTGTAGAAATCTTAAAGTAGGGCTGGGCGATTTGGCAAAAAATTTAAATCTCAATTTTTCCAGAGTGTTTGACCGATTCTCGATTTTTTACGATTTTTAACTAGTCAACTTGTAAATGTAACTACAACATGATTCAAGTAACTTTTTCTTTATTAACCCTCTAGTTAAAGAAAATGTATAATTTTGACCCATACATAACCCTCTAGTTAAAGAAAATCAATAATTTTGACCCATACAATGTATTGTTGGCTATTGCTACAAATATACCCCAGCGACTTAAGACTGCTTTTGTGCTCCAGGGTCACAAATGTTGCTCACTAATACTCACTAATTTATTCATCTATATATAGGCTACAGCATGTGCCTATGCCATGCCTCGTTTTTGTTAATAAACGTTATATAAACTAGTTTGTGATTGTAGCCTACTATTGTTGTTGTGCTTTTCAATTAAGAATAGCAATGAATCCACCTTTCAAGCATGTGTTTTAGTCTTAAAAAGTGATAGGTGTATCAATGTAAACACAACAGACAATTATCTTTTTTTGTAAAACGTGATGCCAAGATCGCGAATTCGAAAACGAAAGCGTCCGAAGCCCTGTTTATAACGCAGCAAAAGAGGAACTCCCGTTCACAAAATTAAAATCACAAATAATGCTGATGAAAAAAAAACGGGTTCAACGTTAACCACTTTTGTTACCATATAACTAGGGATGCACGATACCACTTTTTCCAGTACTCGCCCGATACCGATACTTTTATTTTTGGTACTTGCCGATACCGAGTACCGATACCAATATTTTCATTGCATTTGTAAATTTTTAAAATATTGGGTACAGAAACCAAAAGAGTATGTATAATGTTAGTTGGTTAACTTAATTTATCAAATAGATAAAGGCTGCCTTAATGACAGCCTGTAGTCTCCTGGGCATGCTGTCAACCAGGTTCATGCAAACCTGAACTTAAATTTTTTCCCAGACTCGGTCTGAATAATTTTTGGTCCCAAATTTGTATCAATTTGACTGGTAGTCCACTGTATGAAGAATGTTTGGGTATAATATATCACCGTTTAGTTTATTTTGCTATCCTCACTTTACATAAATGAACTATAGTGTCCTTCACCCACTAGTAAAAAAATATCAAAAATTATATCTGGTCTCTGAATAATTTTTGGTTTGACTGTATATCCTTCTGTTATTTTCACACTTAATTATGTCCATTAAAATGTATTTTACAAGTTTTTGTTTACTTTCACTGTCCATTTTTTTCTCTCTCTATGTTAGCCTACATCATCTTTAATTTATAGCATTAGAGCTGCTCTATTGCAGCGGCTTAGTACTGTAATCACGCGCTTTGCTGTAAAAATGCAGGGAACCACTCGCTATAAATCTCCTAACTGTGATATTTTCATAAATAGAAGTCGCGTTTTTTTTCATCTGAAACGTAACGGTTTATATTCCAAAGCCACTCATATAATGCAGAAACACTCATAAGAGTGAAAATAAATGACATTTATAGTGAATGCCCCTATAAATTCTTATATTTACGATTTAGTTTTAATCCAAATGATGCTAAGTGAGCGAACATCAATAAAGATCACATAACAGAAGCTCTCTCTCTCTCTCTCTCCCTCTCCCTCTCTCCCTACCATTAAGTAACTTGTGCATTGTTTTACTTACTTGTTTTTGACATATCCGACCGAACTACAAACTTTCCAGTGATGTCTGTGAGAAAGGTATATTCACTCGACAAGCTCGCTCGTCTGCGCCGCCAGCGCGCTCAATCCACTCAGCGTGCTTTTTTTATCAGCTCGCGCACTTCAGCTATACAGGCGTTAATACTGAATGTTTAACAGTATATTCATTGCATACATATACTTCGTAGACATCTTTAATCTCTAATAACCCCATTCTGCTTTCTGTTGTCGGTATTTCTTTGTCTGAATATGGCACTTATCACATGCTGTGTGGTATCGGCGTTTGGTATCGGGGCATTTTAACGAGTACGAGTACAGGAGCTCAGTATCGGGCCCGATACCAGTATCGGTGCATCCCTACATATAACTATAAACTATGATAACAGAAAAACTATTCATCAGCATGCATTGATTAATACTAAAAATTAATATTAAAAGAAAAAGTTTTCTCAAGTAGAACAGTGATTTTTAGCTAAAAGTGTGGTCCTTGGTGGCTCATAAAATGCAAGTCAATGGCTGCCGGCACTTTTAGTCAAAAAAGCATATGATTAAACACAAAATTAATCCCCGTGGCTCCTGACAATATATTGAGGTCTTATGAAGCGAAATGAACGGTCTGTGCAAGAAACTGAACATTATTTACAACATTATTACCTGTAATCCAGAGCCTGACACACTGGGAAACCTGATTCTTTTCTGTGAACTGATTCCTTCAGACAGTTCACTTCAATCAACTGGTTCAAATAAACGATTCACCAGTTTGTTTACATAATTACTCGATGACGTTACGTATATGCAATTATATTATTAAAGCACTCGATGTGAAATGTGGATATTTTACATCTCTAAAGCATACAAAGTGAATAAATGTGGTCTTCTTTAGATTTTTACTAGTTTGAGTAACTAGTAGATCTGTGCTGCTCGAGAAGGGAACTGATTCAGATGATTCAGTCCGATTTGGTGAACTGGTTCAAATAGTTCACCAAAAAGAACCGGTTCAAAAGAATGATTCGTTCGTGAACCGGACATCACTTCAGACCGTTTGCCTGAGGCTCTGGATTACTGGTAATAATGCTGTAAATAATGTTCCGTTTCTTGCACAGACTGATTGTTTCGCTTCATAAGACCTCGATATATTGTCAGGAGCCACGGGGATTAATTTAGTGTTGTCTGTATATGCATTTTTGACTCTCAAAGTGGCAGTAGCCATTGACTCACATTTTACCAGCGAAAAGGGCTCTTTTTGAGTGAACTATCCCTGTTGGAGCCATTTCTTTTTCTATTTTCATATTTTGGACTGATTTAATAATTTGATTAGAATTAAGTATGTTTGATGATTATTATTTGTGTATCATTTCAGTTTATTTGAGTTTTTGCTTTGAATGTTATGAATTTATGAATGGAGACTCTTTTTATATCATTGCAACTGAGACTTGTCACAGCACTTGCATATCATTGCTCTTTTGTTGATTTTGAATGCTTCCATTGTCCTCATTGGATAAAAGCGTCTGCTGAATGAATAAATGACTAAATGTAAATTTGCTGCTATAATCCCTTTAATTCTAAGGGTCAGAAATGGACAAACCAGTATGCATCTTATAGACGCTTTTTGGCTGATTTGCGCTCAGTATCTGCTCTGCTTGTTCACATGCTCGGAGTGTTTGTCAGTTCTCATGGTCTGTGTGTTTGCTGCATCTGGACGCTGTTTGTTGACTGAGGCGTAATGAGGTGTACATGAACTACATCAGAGAGGCCAGCGCACACTAAATGTTGCACCTGGTCCTTTGGCCCGTCCGCAGACACACTGTCCCTCTGTAATCAGTGTGTGAAGCGTGGCTCGCGTCACTAATGTAGTGTGTCGGCACGCCACAGTCGCTGCAGGACAAACTGTAATTAGGTTTGGGTTCGTTATGTACCCTAGCGAGTGCATTTCAGCGTCAGACATAAATATCGTTTTCTTCAATCATTGTCAATGTCTTGTTTTGCTGTTGAAATATGCCAACTGGACATCCATAACAGAAATACTTGAATTCAGTCTTTTATTTTCATAGTTATTACTTCCACATGTGAGCACACTTGGCGTACACTACAGACACACTTGTATACTATTGTAGCATTTATTAATATTACTTTCTTGTTTTTATATTTCATTTTAGTTTTTTTTTTTTTTTTGTAGTAATTGTTTGTGTTTTTGATGTTTTTTTGGGGTGGAGGGGGGTGCGTACAACTTTCTGCTCTCTTCTGCTCACCAAGGCTGCATTTATTTAATCAAAAATACATAAAAAAATTTTAAATATTATTGCAATTTAAAATAATGGTTTTCTATGTTAATCTGTTGTAAACCTGTAATTTATTTCAGTGATTTAAAGCTGAATTTTTCAAACTGAGATACATTGGGGTAAGTAATATTTAGTTAAAAAACAAAAAAGTAATTGATATTTCTACTCAAGGACACATTAAATGGATCAAAAGTGACAGTAAAGACATTTATAATGTTACAAAATAATTATATTTCAAACAAATCCTGTTCTTTTGAACTTTCTATTCATCTGTGAATCCTGAAAAATAAAATGTATCAGAGTTTCCACAGAAATTTGAAGCAGCACAACTGCTTTCAACATTGATGATAATAATAATAACAGCCATTATTAATAATTGAGCGCTAATGATAATTCATCTTTGCATCACAGAAATAAATTATATTTCAAAATATATTCAATAGAAAACAGTTATTTTAAATTGTAATAATATTTCACAACTTCTAATGTACTTTTGATCAAATAAATGCAGCCTTGATGAGAAGAAACGACTCTTTCAAAAACATAAAAAATCTGAATTATTAAAAAAAACACAACTAATAAAAAAAAATTTATAATAATAAATTAAGCTAAAAAATAACTCATTTTAGTACTTAAACTTTAATACTTATTTTAGTTTTTAGTTTAATTTTTATATTTTATTTTATGTCATTTAACACAAACAATATTTAATAGTTTTTAGTTTTTGTAGGTATTATTAGCGGTCAGTCATATTGCGTCTGTGGTCAGTAGCTCCAAACAAATCATCTTTTGTTTCCTGTTTAGTCACTGACGGACAGGAAGCAGTTGTGATGCATGATCCGTCCTCAAACTATGTGAGGATGGAGCCAGATATCTGCTCTGAATTAGTGTTTCGTATCCCATGAGGCCAGTGTGTGTCCTTGGACGTCGTGAAGGTCAAGTGAACAAATGCTGCAGAACATATTTGTGATGGCACGCTTTAATAATGCAGCATGTGCTCATCATTACAGACAATCACTGACAGCTTTATTTATTCTCTCAGAATGACTTTATAAAAGCCTTCTGATGCATTTCCTGTTCTTCGATTGGACTCGTTTCCTGTGTCTACATTAACACTTTAAAGTCAACATCGGAAACATGTTTTCTTCTGTAGCGTGTGAATGTGAAACCGAGTATTCATTCATTAGGAAATAATGTAGGACAGAACATCGTTTTATTCATGTTAGGCTGATATTTATTAGTAGTGGTGTTTAGTAAGAAAGATATGCATTATTCTAAAGCACCATTAATCATCCATAGTAAGACCAGAAAATGTATTCTATTCTATTATATAATCAGCGTTGACACATTGACGTTGATTCAAATTATTTATTTTTTTATTTATATGATTCAAATTATTTATTGTAACTTTATTTAGATATTATTTTTATGCATGTATGTATTAATATGATTCAAAGTATTCATTGGAATTGTGCAAATGTTATTTTTATTTATTTATTAACATGATTCAAATTATTTATTGGAATTGTATTCAAATTGTAGTTTTTTTCCTAGTATTTATTTATTTGACTCAAACTTTTGGAATTTTATCCAGATTTTTTTTAAATGTATTAATATAATTCAAATTATTAATTGGAATTGTATTCAGATATAATTTTTTATTTATTTATGTATTAATGTGATTCAGTTATTTATTGGAATAGTATTAACATTTTTATATTTATTTTATTCATATGATCCAAATTATTTTAATTCAGATTTTATTTCTATTCATTTATTTATTAATATGAACCAAACCTTTGGAATTGTATCCGGATGTATTAATATGATTCAAATTATTTATTGGAATTATATTTATATTGTATTTATTTGTTAGTGACTGGAATTTCATTCAGATTTTATTTTTATTTATTAATGTTATTTCAATTATTTATTGGTATTTTACTTAGTATGTATGTTTATTTATTTATGATTCAAATGATTTGTTTATTAATTTATGGGTCAAAGACGTTAAGATGTCCGCATCAAAATAAATGTACAAAAGTTTATAATTTTATGTCCATAGAAAGCACATTAAATGTAAATAAAGTGTCTATTTTTAAGGTTTCAAATAAGTTTTTGGAGAATAAAATGTCACAATTTGGTTGAAATAATGTTACATTGTCATTCAGTGTAACACAATATTTATGTAAAAATTCAAACAACATGCTTATTCTGACGTGTACATATTAATATATATATAAAATAAGAAGGGAGCAAATTAAATTTTATTGTGTTTTAAAGGAGTAAAAAAAAATTACTGACAAATGGGCAAAACCTAGGATAGTGGCACATTTTAAAAATGTAAAATTACAGCTAATTAGTATTTGGGGTGAAAGTAATTAGTCTTTTAATGTGTCATAAACTAATTTTTGTTGTAAATATGCCTGAGAAGATCGTTACACTGAATGACATTTTAGTGGGTCTCTTCTGTAAATCAGGGGAAAATTTATGATATTTATTTTTTGCTCAGAAAAACAAAAAAAACATTGCAATTAAATTAAACTGAAAACTTTTTACATTTTTTGGGGAAAATCAACAACAATTTAAAGCCGTATTACACTTATGTTTTTATGCTTAAACATTTTTTCGTCTTTGACCCTTATATGTTTTAATTAATTTACTAGAATTTTATTTGTATTTATTTTTTCCTGTTACTCAAATTGAATGTTGCTTAATTTGCACTTTGCATCCTGATGATCATCTTAATCTGTCGTCTGTCCTCTTGTAGGGTCACACGGCGATGCTGAACGACGGCTGCTGGCATCCCAAAATTAAAGAGGAGTTTCTGACCTGCTCCAATGACGGGTGAGTGATCGAATACCAATCCTCTCAGCTTATTATTACACGTTTAGTGAACATGTAAAGAGGCTCTTTCTGTCGTGGCACAACACACGTTGAGCTTTGCTTCCGCAGGCATTTTGTGTTTGCATACTTGAGTATGTTCATTGCCTTTCTTCAAACCATTTGTTCTTGAGTTTTAACCCATAATCCCAGGGGATTGTGGGTATTTCACTGGGTTTAGGCTTGTTGTGAGTGATTCAAAGTTTGATGTTAGTCACTGAAACTTTCCAAACAACATGGAGCCAAATGCATGATTGTCTTAATCAAATTTAACTCTGCTCTGAAATATATTCCTCAAACACAATCCATTCTCATAACAACGCAACAAAATCGATGTGTGTTTTTTTTTTTTTTATCAGATTTTATTATTTTTCTTTAAATATAATAGCATTTGTGGCAGTCATCATGAAAGTGAGTCAGATTGAATGATTCAGTGAGTCTTTTTGGTCAATTCAGGAATCGCTCCATAAAACTAATTTGTTCATACAAATGATCATCTTTTATTCTTTAATCATCCAGTCAATTAGTGAGTCTTAATTCTGATTCAGTGAGTCATCTGATAGTCTGATTCAAACAGTAACTCTTGTTGACTCCTAAAGACTCCTTGTTCATAAGAGTCATTTGTTCATAAGAATCAGTCTTTTGATCACATTTGATTGTTTACATTTGTTCAAAATAACATTTATGGCAGTCATCAAGCAAGTGAGTCAGATTTAGTGATTCAGTGAGTCTTTTCTCAGACAGGTTCTTCTGGCCATTCCAAGAATCACTCCATAAGTATAATTTGTTCACAAGAATATTTTTGATCATCTTTTAATATTTTTCTTTAATTATCCAGTAAGTTAGAGTATTTATTCAGATTCAGTGAGTCATTTGTTCGTCTGATTCAAACACTAGCTGTTTTTGTCTTCTTGACCAAATTAAAAATCTGTTCATAGGAGTCATTTGTGCTTCTTTTCGATCACATTGTAATGTTTTTCTTTCATTTTAATATTGTTTCTGACATTCATCCAGTCAGTGAGTCTGATAATTTATTTTATTTTTTAACCAATTCAAGAAGTCCATGAAAATCACTCATTCATGAGAAAAATAAGTCAAGCATTTAAGATGCTCTTCCAGTCAGTCAGTGAGTCATGTTCGCAATCAGGGAGGCATTTGTCAGAAAGATTCAAACAGTAGTTCTTTATGAGCAATACGAGAGTCATATGTACATAAGAATCAGTTGTTTTGATCAAGTTTTTCTTGAATTAAAATAGCATTTATGACAGTCTTCCAGTCACTCCACCAGAGTGATTCAGATTCAGGGATTCATTTGTCACACTGCTTTTTGTTTAATTCTGCAGTCATAAGAGCCATTTGTTTATAAGAATAGTAAGAATCATTTTTTTAAATCACATTTAAATGTTTTTCTTTTAAATAAAGTAACATTTATGGCAGTTATCCAGTCAGTAAATAAATCTGATTCAGTGAGTCATTTGTAAGACTGGTCTTTTTGACCAGTTCAGGAAAAACTCAGTCCTTTGTTCAAACATATTTTAGGGTTTTTAGAATAGCAATTTTTGCTGTGATTTTTTTTAAACATATTTAAGAATTGTTCCATAAGAATTCAAAAACATTTTACTATTTTTGTTCTTGAATTAAAACGGCAAGTTTTGCGCTCCAGTCAGAAAGTGAGTCTGATTCAGATTCAGGGAGTCAGTGTTTTTGTTTTTGTTTTTTTTACCAATTCAAGAATCTGTTCATAAAAATCAGTTGTTTTGATCACATTTCAGAGGTTTTCTTCAATTGAAATAACAATTCTGGCAGTAGTTTTGTCATTAACTGATTCTGATTAAGGGATTTATTTATTTATTCAAGAATCTGTTCATAAGAGTCATTTATTCATATAACATAGTCTGATTCAGCGAGTCATTTGTCAGACTGTTTTGGTTTTAGTTTTGTTTTTTTTGACCAATTTAAGAATCTGTTCATAAAAATCAGCTGTTTTGATCACATAACAATTCTGGAAGTAGTTTTGTCAGTAACCGATTCTGATTAAGGGAGTTTTTTTTTTTTTTCCAATTCAAGAATCTGTTCATAAGAGTAATTTATTCATAAGAGTCTTTTCGATCACATTTTAATGTTTTGCTTTATTTAAAGTAACATTTATGGCAGTAATCCAATCAGTAAATGAGTCTGATTCAGTGAGTCATTTGTAAGATGAGTCAGTTTTCACATTTTAGGGTTTTTCTTGGATTAAAGTAGCAATTATGGCAGTGATTTTGTCAAACCTATTTTTTTTGCAATAAGATTAATTTGTAATTATTTATAATTTATGACAAAAAATAAATATTTTTTTTCCTCCAATTAACAGCAAGGATGTCCTGTCAGTGAGTCTGATTCAGATTCAGTGAGTCATTTGTCAGACTGTTTTCTTTTTTGACCAGTTCAAGAGTTTTTTCATAAGAGTCTGTCTTTTTGATCGCATTTTAAGGTTTCTCTTGAATTAAAATAGTATTTATGGCAGTAATTTAGTCAGTAGTCTGATTCAGACTTACAGCCACTTTTTTCTTTGTTCATAAGAATCAGTCATGCTGTATGTTTTTTCTCACTTTTTGCGATGTTTCAGTGTTCACAGCCTCCAGACTACAGGCCTGTGAAATTTTCTATGCGTGTAAACCTGTGTCAAATCATGCCCTCGTTGTGTTCCTCTATAAAAGCGCTCTGGTTTTACTGTGCGTCTGAACCGTGGTGTTACAGATGTGGCTGTGTTTTATTCAGTGCTAATATAGATTCTGGAAGTCGTCGCTTGGCACGCAGCGGCGCATGTCTCAGGCGCGTTCAGAGGAGGAGGTTTAGCTTGAGGAGCAGCTGCAGATGTGAGCCGTCCCCGGCGGGGCATTATATCAGCGCTCAACGGGGGCCACATGTGTCCTGTGATTGTGTTGGGGTTAACGGGCCATGCAGGGGTCGAGATGGACTCGGCGCGGCGCTTTGGTGTGATTACCGTCCTGCTCGCTGTAGATTACACTGACAGACTGACACCATCGGTTCCTCTGGGTTCATGGGAACGATGAACCCGAGCGGCAACCTCCCGCTCTCTCTCGTGAAGCCAACACGGAAGTGACTAAATTGTAACCACTCTAAGTGCGTCTGCCTTGGGAAAGCTAGCGTGTCTGATAGTGATAACACTCGTTGCCTTCTCTAGTGCAGCTCAACCAGGTCTCGTCCCATTCGTCGATATTTGTGATATCACAAATCCCGGAAAATACGCGTTGTAGTCCAAACGAGTCGTTCGTTGTAGTTTTTGAAAAGTGATTTCTGTTAAATAAAATATCTCCTTTTGAAGTGGACTTTGAGCTTTGTAACTTTGCAGATCTTTTTTATGCTCAAACAGCAACATTACAGACTAACTAAAGTTGAAAAAGTGAAAAAGCATAATAGGACCCCTTTAATTTTCTTTATGCAAAATATAATGTGAGGAAGGTTTTCTGCAGTTCTCTGAGAGTTTCTCCAGAGTCAGTGATCTCAGCTTTCGTTCGGCGGCTGTCAGGTGATGAATTGCGATGACCTCCTCACTGCATCGTCCTCTCAGCCGTAACGCGGTAAAATCCTGGTGCGGTCCGCTGTGCTGCAGGCCGAATGCCGCGGATTCCCATCATGCCGCGCTGCAGTGAGAGCAGGTTTCTGGCTCCACACTAAAAGCTCTGGAGATCTGCCACCTGTTACAGCTACTACTCAGAAAACTCTCCACTGCTTTATAGCTATAATATTGTTGTTTCTCCTGCAGAATAAACAGCATGGAGCAGTAATAGCGGGACGGATCAGTTTTAATACGCGTGTATGAATTTGTGTGTATAAACACTGGTGAAATTTATGTGACCCTGGAGCACAAAAGCAGTCTTAAGTCGCTGGGGTATATTTGTAGCAATAGCCAACAATACATTGTATGGGTCAAAATTATCCATTTTTCTTTTATGCCAAAAATCATTAGGATATTAAGTAAAGATCATGTTCCATGAAGATATTTTGTAAATTTCCTACCGTAAATATATCAAAACTTAATGTTTGATTAGTAATATGCATTGCTAAGAACTTCATTTGAACAACTTTAAAGGTGATTTTCTCAATATTTAGATTTTTTTGCACCCTCAGATTCCAGATTTTCAAAATATTGTCGGATCCTAACAAACCATACATCAATGGAAAGCTCATTTATTCAGCTTTCAGATGATGTATAAATCTCAATTTCAAAAAATTGACCCTTGTGACTGGTTTAGTGGTCACATATTTGTTTTCTGAGGTGATGCTGAAATGTGGCTGATTTCTGGAAACGACCCAGAAACCGTGATGACAGACGTTCAGGAGGACTGTATTTATAAATGTTTTGAACGATTTTGAGATCTTGATTGTTCAGAGCTGCACAGCAGAGTGTATTTTTAGACGTGCACTCATTTGTTTCGGCCGTAGTGCTGAAGACGGATTAGGAGACATCCCATATGCTCGGGATCTTTGCTAAATTGCTGCTCTTATCGGAGTTAATTAACCTGCGGGGCTTTGGCCAAACGTCTCTGATATGTAAGAAGTATTAGGACTGTAAAACATCTCTTCTGCGATCAGATAACTTCTCACCGCTCAACAATGACATTATCATCTTGGCTCATTATTTAATTATTATTTTTATTTATTTATTTTTTAATCTGACAGTAATTTGACTAAAATTTATTGTAGATGGTAGTGAACTTATGAACTTAAGTTGCTGAATTTAGTAATTCATCCTCTTTAAAACAACACTGCTAAAAATATTAAAGTAATAGAATTTTATCATATTTATTTATAGTTGATTTAACTTTTATAAATTATAAATAAAATAGGTAATATTATATATATATAGGTGATATTATTTATCATATTATGATATAGTAGTATTTTCAGCACTGCTAAAATACTATGTACTTGATAAATAAGTAAAATTTACTTTTTAT